GATTAGAACTGTTTGGGTGGTCTGTCCTAAATTGCGTTCTTGCTGTTCAAAGAGAGATCCTTTGTAGGTGTGTGGCGGTGTTTTGTTGTTTTTGTTTTTTTTTTTTTTTTCTCCAGAGAGGAGAGATTTATGCTTGTATCTCCCGGGGAGTGCAAAACCCCGGGGTTTGCAGTTTTATCTCTGTGGCACGGACTGCGCGGTGAGCGCTGCTGAAAGCTGAGACTCCCCGCATAATCCTGTCAGTTTGTTTTTTCAGGCTATTAATAGAACAAAATACGAAAATGCTTAAATACTCGTCATGAGTAACCGGGCTGCTCTTGAACTGAAAACAAAGGCTGCCTACCGAGACCATTTCTTTTCTGAAAGAACAGTCCCGAGCATGCTAAATCCGGACTTCTTCCCTTTTTCTTTCATACTCCTAACCAGGACGTGCCCGATGGGACCTGTGCCTCCTTTGTGGCCGTTGCTGCCGACTGTTCTGTCAGAAAATGCAGACTATGCCGTGAGCTCTTCCCTCTATTCTTAGTAATCGTTACGATCCCGTTCCCCTGGTGAATATCGGGAGGGCAAGGTAACGGAGACCCGCGTGGATGGATGCTGTGGAGGAGCTGCCTGTGCCGTGGTCGCAGCCAGCCAAGGAGCGCCGCAGTAGCACCTGTCTGCCAGAGCAGCGCTTTATTTTTGTCCGGCGATAATCGGAGAGGCGGGCTGAGAGCAGCTAGGGGTTACAGGACAAACAGCTCAACGCTGTAGGAAAGCAGGTATTGCCAGTTCTGTTGCAGGTGGTACCTGAGGGGCTGTAACGCAGCTCTTATCAGCTGGAAATAGAATATTTTTGTACGCTCTCACTGAACTTAATTCGGGGTATTTCAGCAGATGCTGTCGTTTGCTGGTTACTTTGCTTTGCTTTTGGAATGTTTTCTAGAGAAGGAATAAACATTGGAAGTTCTGTCTAAAACACAGTTAATCTGTGAATAAACCAGAAACAAGTTAGTTATATTTGCTTGAAATGTAATTTGTGGGCAGACAACTGAATTTGAAAGCAAAAATTAATAATACAGAGGAGCCTTACAAGCCCTCTCACAAGTGGAAGTTTTAAAAAAGATGACAAAAATCATGAAAAGATAAACCCACACCCTTCCCAAGCAAAAGTCCCCCAGCATGTTGTAGTGTTGTGTAACGTAAGTGATATTGTTATGCAAGGGGGGAAAGAGTCAAAAAGCGAGAGGACTATAAACAAAAGCTGCAGGCTGGGAAGGGAATGCCAGCCTGCATGCAGCCGGGCTTGCTCTTGTTGTTTTTTAATAGGGTGCTACTGCTGGCCTACGTGAAGACATTAGATTCAGGATTCAGACAAATTGCAGTGAGGTAAGGTGGGTAGAGAAGGGTGTAAGAGCAAAATGTTCGGTAAGGAGTAAGCAGAGCTGGTGGGGTGGAGGGCAGTAGCAGAAAAGCAGGGGTAGCTGCGGGGTTAGGGACTGGTAGCTGTCATGTTCAGTGGTGAGAGAAGGCAGCAGGGTGTGGGTCGGGGCAGACTGCAATCCCAGGCTGTGTCCTGCTGGGTAATTAAGGCATTATGGAGGATAAGCAGAAAGTCACTTGAAACATCAGTTGCTGTCCTGTGTGCGTCTGGTACTTGTTTCTTCTCTCCCCCTTTCTTTACATCAGCTTTCCTTTTTACAATACTTTTTAGACTTTCAAGTGAAATACACATTACACAGACAAAAAGCAAAACATTTGCCAGTTTAGTGTGGAGGTTTCAACATCAGCACAGCAGAAATACGAGTAGAACACAATGGAAAAAATCCTTGAAATGGTTTACCTGTGACAAAAAAAGCTTTTTCCAGAATGACAACACAGACTTTTCCTCAGTACTGTATTACGCTACTTGCCCTCCCTCCCCTTGCTTTTTTTTTTTTTTTTTTTTCCCAGAAGGTAATAGGTTTGGCTCTGAAAACTCAGTTCCAATAAGGGTGGAGTGAGATTATTTTTTGCTGCCTTCTGCCAAAATGAAATAAAATGTGTCAACATGAAAATTGTACAATTTCTGTGGAGCCAAGTGCTTGTACTAAAGTTTGTTTTTAATTTTTTTTTTCAGCTCGTAGTTTGTTTTGCTGGTGTGCCAATGACATTTTGTGTGTTTGTGTGTGAACTTCTTGGAGAAATGCCAGGGGCTGGAGTCTGGGATAGTACCAGCTTTTATAAAGTCTTTTTGATGTCACTGAAATTAGAGGAACACACGTGAAGCGTCTCACACAGCTGTCTTCAGGGCAGAAAGGTTGTGTGAAGTTTGTAAGTTCCTGGGTGAGGGGTTAGGTGGGAGATGTTTCTCTTTGAAAGCATTTAGTTTTTAGTTGTGTTTTAGCTTAACCATCTTTTGTCAGGAACTGATAATTGGTGGCTTGTCTGGTGCTTTTTAGTTTAATGTTAGGGGGTTAATTTGAAGGTACTTCAATTTACCTTTTCTTTCTATCTTTCCCTTAAAGGAGGGGGAAAAAAAAGCCCCCCAAACTAAAGTAATTGTGCCTGTTAGTTCCTACAGGGGTAGAAGGACACAGAGCTGTCAGCCAGCCTGATCCGGGGAGCATCGCAGCGTCACAGGCGTGGCCTTGTCAGGTCCCAGTCACGGGGCTTTTACTCTGAACAGCTCACTGCTAGGGAGGGTGAAAGTTAAAATCCTGTGGTTTCTTTTAGTACTGTTGTTTAGGGTTAGTGTGAGGGCTGCTGAACCTGGTCCCGGTGATGCTGAGCAGGAGCTGTACAGAGGTAAAAACCTAACGGCCAGGCTCAAACTGCTTTTCAGGTTAACCAGAGAATTTACTGTGAGGTTAACTGCACTACACTCACTTTTGCCACTCTCCTGTTGTTTCTGGTGTTGCCTCTAGTTTCTTAACCAAGAACAGACAGTAGCTTGCTGTCCAGGCTTCTGCGGGCCAGGCTCAGTTCAACCTTCCTTTGTGGTTATTTCAACTCCTAAACAGAGTTGAAAGTAGGGTGTAGGGCAATGATTCCTGCACTGCAGGCTGTGAAGTGATAATGGGGCATGTCGGAATAGCCGGTGGCAAGGGGTAAAGGTTGACCCTGGTCTCTCCATCCCAATAGTTTGGGAACCCTTGGTCTAAGCGATGACAAGCCACAGGCAAAAGAGTCATTATAGGAAAGCTGATGGTTTTTACTCCAGGGGATATCGAGGAGTGTTGGGTTTGTATTAAATAAACAGTGTCTGATGAGTAAAAAACAGGATACAAAAGCAGGGGAAGGATTTTAGGAAACGTTCAGAACTGGCACTTCCCTGTTTTTAGAGCACTAGCCCTGATGACTAACTCTTTAAGTGTTCTGTGAGTGTATATAATTAAATAATCAAATACTTGCTCTACATAAATTGACTTTGAATACGTTTCTCCTGGTAGTGAGTCTATTTCAGAGTGTTTCATCATGCGGTAGGTGTTCTGCTTAGCTGCACTGGTAATAGGTAGCTGCATATCTCCCATTCTCCTGTTTATGTCACACTGTTGTTGACTCATTTAAAGTATAAAAAAAAAAAAAAAACTTGAACGAAGACCAAATGCAACTTAAAGTTCTTATCCCCAGAGCAGATTAAAACAAAATCCCACCAGAGTTCTGGGTTGGGAATATGTAGATGTGCATCTGCGTTTGTGCATCTACATACACACGCGCGCTCTTTTTAAAATGCAGCCTTCTAGTCCTACGCTTTTGGTTGTGTTTTGAGTTTAAGCAAGGTTAGATGACAGTCGTGAACTCTGAGAGGCTTATTTCTAAGACTGATAGGATCAGAAATGTGATGAGGTGTGAACGCTTACTCCCCTGCGAGGTGGAGGCTTTTATTGCACATGGGACAACCTCTGCGTGAAATAAATTAAAATTTGAGTGTTCTTGTTTGCCTCGTGGGAGGGCGTAGTCTGTGCATGTTCTTTAGATAATGCCCTTTTTATGACATTTAAATAATGTTTAAGTGTTGAAAGACTGAAGTGCCTGACTGAGTTGTATTTGTATCATGTCATGAAAATGAGGAAATTTACATGGCCCGTGTTGTTTTCAGGTTTGCTGTAAACTACCTACAGTAGCTATAATGACACCAGCCCTCAGAGAGGCAGCAACAAAAGGTCATGGTATCCACTTGTCACCTTCTTTGTCCTCTAGAGCTATGGAGTCTGATACAACTTTGTGCATGGAAAATTCCAGAGCAGTGGAAGAGAAGATAAGAGAGGACTCCATCGCACGGATTACTTGCTCAGTCCTGGGGTTCCCCACTGCTGAGCCCAGCCTCAGGAATGATATCTTCAGCATGCAGCATTTCGCTTCTCCGCCGTCCTCCAAGCGCTATCAGTCTGTCTTGTTAATGAGCACAAATTCTGCATTTAGCAACAAAACCGGTAAGCAAATGAAATCGGGAGAGCCTGACTGCTCCAGGATGAGAAGCGCGTTACATAATGGTGCTGACACATCGCTCGGTCACATCAGTCATTCGGGACCTGAGGAGCAGGTCAAAGGGGTCGCTTTTCCAGACACCGCACCTCCAAATCTGGCAGAAACGCCAAGACTTTCGGATTCAAATGTGACCGAATCCAGTACTGCAGAAGAAATGCAGCTCTTAAATGGTAAATGGTACAAGAAGAATGGGTTTTGGGGTAGGGCTTTGGGAGTCTGCACTGAAACAATAAAAGGGGGTTTATTACACCAAATTCTTCACGGGCCTTCAGAAGGGATTTTGAGCTGCACCCCGAAGGAGGTGTATGCTCGCTTACTCCAGTGTGTCACTAAGCAACAAAAGGAAATCAGCCGCGCCAAAAGGACTCAGAAGCGTTTACAAATGCTCCTGGCAAAGCACGTTATCAAACACTGTGATCAGCAGCTGAAATGCTTTGTAAAACATCAGTTACAAAGAATGAAGGTTTTCCACGAACCAACCAGGTTTTCGAGCAGTGGCTCCGTCAGGTGCGCGGAAGGTTGGCCAGAAAACAGCACAGCTACTTCGGAAGGTAGTTCCAGTGCGGATGTACAGAACGGAGTTTGTGTTGCTCCGGGGGAAATCCGGGGCTTTGCACTTTCTACCGGAGGGCTGCTGTCTCGTGTGGAGAAGGACCTGGACTCGGATGCAACGTGTAGCAGCTCAGACGAAGACTGTGACGAACAGACTGTAAGAACAACTGTGGAAGCGTAAGTGTTAAATTCCTGCTAGACTCATGTGCTTCATGCTTATAAATCAAGCTGGAGGGGGCTAGACCTGCAAATTCCTTCTGGTGTGAGTAACCTCACTCCGTAGGTAGGCCTCCTGCAGGAGGACTGCCGACGGGAGCCAGGTTTGGCAGGGTCCAGCCAGAAGTAGGAGCATGGAACTGTGCAGCATTTACGGAGCAGTAACTTCAGCAGGCTGTAGAGCTTGACTTTGTACTGCATCCTGTCAGCTTGCATTGCATTAGCACTGCTAATTATTCACCACTCCAATGATGCTGTAAATCAAAACAAATAGTGATAGCAGTGCAGAAAAGGATACTTTAGGCCAGTAAAAAAAAAAATAATCTTTTTATTCTTGTTCTGAGTCATTAAGTATTAGTCAGCATTAAGATCTTGAAGTCCACTATTACATGGTAAAGACTAAGTATGATCATCAATGCAGATGTCAAGCCATCCAGAATCTGGGGGGTGCACATTGAAAAAGTTTGGTTCTTTGAATTATAATTAAAAATGTTAATTTACTTAATGAGGTTGCTCTGTTAATTTGAAGCTGGCAGGATTGTTTTTGTTGTTGCTGGTATCTTTTTCAAGAAGTACTAGAGTGAAATTAATGTAATTAACTAATTCTGCAGTTCTCTGGGTCTATTAAATTGACAAGTAACCTGTCAATACGAATTATTGTAGCTTTGGAAATCGGTGATAGGGAAGACAAGTGGATGATTAAATTGTTTTAGCCTGTTTTTTCTTACCTTACTGCAGTGTTAACTCTCTGCTGTTGAGAAATTGTAGAAAGCAGTGAGAAGACAGCTTCTTTCCCCTTCTGACAGGTGAAGAGAACAGAGCACGTCTTAAGATCTGGTAGGATGTGATGGTGAGAGTAGATAGGTAGGAACTTTCTGGTGCTTACATTTGTAGCACCTGAACTCAGGACAGTTTTTGTGTTTGCTGATCTCCTATTACAGGAGGGGACTTTTAGGGAGTTTCTGGAAAGCACTAAGAGTGATACTGGTGTTGAAGGGAAATCAGGTATTTAAAAAAAAAATTCTTAGTTTCTTCAAAAGCTTAATGTGCAGAAAAAATCAAGGAAAAAATCAATCTCTTCCTTTGGAGGAGGGCTGTGCCCTATTACGTGGTTAAAGCTTCATCAACAAAAGCTTCGATACAGCGTGGTTGTACCAAATCCCTGCTGCATTTTGTTGAACTCTGTAGATCTGGAAAACAGTAGAAAAAAAGCAACATAAACACGAGTTTTCATTTTCTTTTACATATTGTCAGTGGTAAATACAATATTAAAAAGACCAAAGCGTAATGAGTTGCCAGCTGAGCTATGATCGCCTTAAACATTTGAGTCTGCACAAAATTATTCTTTTGAAATACTTCAGTGCAAACACAGAATCGTTGGCTCCTGGTGCTGGAGAATCCGCATTCTTCTCTTAGCTGATACCTTTGAACTTCTGAGTACCAGCTCTGCCTCTCGGGTTCTTATCTGGTGATTACATGACCTGAATAGGGAGAACTGATGGGAAATGCTGATTCTCGGAGGGTTGTGAATAGTCTAAAACTTGGACTGAAGTTCTGTGCGAGGGCTTTCTTTTTTATTCATGCCAGGGACAGTCCAGTTTCTCATTCTGCCAGTCCTTTAACTTTATTTCTTCTTTTAGCTTTCGAAGTCCTTAAGTTATCTTTCCACTTAAGGCTTATTCAGTTTGTTTTGTTGCACTGACAAAAAAATGCAGAGGCTTATTAACCACACAGACACCACCTTTGGCTCAGGAAATCCCCAACCTGCAGCTGCTGGAAGCTGAGGGAGTATTCTTGAGCAGTGCTGCTCTGCACTGCCCCGTTTCAAGGCTGTTATCTGGCCACTGCTTAGAGGCAGGACACTCGGTAGATCATCTGTAGGCTGACTTAGTGCAACCTCTTTTTTTTCTTTTTCCTCTTTTTATGTTCTTCCAGTAGAGCAGCAGGGATACTGTGGTTAGCAGTGTGCATTAGCAAAGGCTTTGCTGCATTGTCAGCACGAGAATCACCGGTGTTTGAACTGTGCTGCTGGACCAGCAAGCTCAGAGTTAAAGCACTGGCTAATTTAAGCTGAAGACTTTTGTCTGTGTGCACAGGTTGAGCCAATGCTTGAATTCACATTGCAGCAAACACACGCTGTCTCTTATCAGAATTTATTGCTATCTTAAGCTTGGAATGGTTTTCTTCCTTCTCCACCTTTCCCAAGATGTGTCTGCCTGGCTAAAAGGCCACACTTTTCCTCTGGGATGGCAAAGGTACATCAGTTCTGCAGCAGTGCAGCTGCTGAGCCTTGCTTTTCTCATGAGCTCTATCACTTGGAAGTTTCTTTGGGTTGCCTTTGAGCAGGACAAAAACCCAAAAACCTAAAAGTTAGCATCCATTTTTACTCCCACTTAGTGGATTTATGTTGCTGTGAAATGCCTTTCTCTCCTAGGGAATTGGTTCTTAGTGCTTTCCAGAAATACTGTGATTATGTGGGTGAGGGAATGTTCGTTGCCTCGCTTTTTGACTTTTATTTCTCACCTGGAAAGACTCCTCCTCTCTGTTATATTCTAGACGTCATGAGGTTCTATTAATGCAGTGACGGATGGGGAAAATGTTTGTGGTTTGCCTGTGTCACCTTACACCGATTGCATTTAACTTTCACAAATCATCATGCTAGTCGGAGGCTATTTGCAATAGGTCATTGCTACATCCTTGCTTTGTGTGTGTGGGAGGGGGTATCAATCCAAAACGTACGGGGAGAGAGAGGACCCTCCCCTTTCATGTTTACCTGAGACCAGGCTGTTTCCCATCAGCACGGAGAAGTTCTGATTCCAGCCCCAATATTTCATGGCAGGCAAAAAAAAACGGAGCTATTTTTAACCTCTTGAACCTGTTCATTCTCGTTACCCTGAAAAGGGTTTTGCCCGATGAGTGTTGACATAAGCTCTTCTGAGCTGTGTCTCGATGCTTCGTGTCTCAAGTGCGATTGTCTCTATCCATCTATCTCAATACCCATGTTGGTCAGTTGCAAATAGCCCCTACAAGGCGCTTAGACCGGCGCTCATCCCTTGGGCCTTGCATCGGTGCTGTCCTCACACAAGAGGTTCTCGGTCTGCTGGTGAGCGCAGTGCTTTTAGCTGACAGTTCACCGTGCTTCTCTGGTTTCTAGAGAGACCGGAAAATCTTGTCCCAGTTCTGAAACTTCATCAGAACATATTTGGGCTTTTGAGTATTTGTCAATACGAAGAAACAGTTGGTTTATCTCAGGAATTTTGGCGTTTTGCTGCTGGTGTCAGCTCAGCGGCGTCTTTAACTTGTCACATCTTTCATGGAAGGTTTCTTAGGCACTGTACCAAACTGTCCTCAGCAGCTTGTCGTTTCCTAGCACTGTTCTGGCCTTTAGGCCATAAATTCCCTGCAACATTGTGTAGGGGATGTGGTAGTGCTTCTCTGTGCTTTCTTAAAGACGTTAGGTGCTAGCTCCATGTTCAGTGCGTTAACCAAAGCGGATGGAGTGCCCAGGGAGGCCATCAGAAGGCTGAGCATAGGCAGTTCCCTCAGGAATTCACAGCAGCCAGCTAAAATGCAGCATAGACAACGCTGCGCCAGCCGAGGTTACTTCGAACTTTTTGGTTTTTCTTGAACATGGAAGATTTACCGTAGAAAATGATGTCAGATTTCAAACAAGGTGACCGGGGGGAGGATGTGAGTTTGCAGTGCTTTCAAGAGCATCTCTGCTCAGGGAGCTGCCTGCCATATCTTCCTGGGCTAACTGCATCCTCAGTCAGGTGTTTTGTGTGATCCTGATGTGGCAGGAGGTTCTGGTTGTTTGCAGTGTACTTCCAAATGCCCTGCGTGATCTTCCAGAATCAAAAGATCCATCCCTGGGGTTCTTTGAAGGCACAGCTGCTCACTCCATCAAACAGTAATGTCTGTACCTAATTGATTAGAGAGAAAAGCTTTTTACAATAGATTTTTCTGTGAAACAAGTCGCTGTCTGTCTACTTGGGAAAAGTCCCGTGCCCTTTTCCCCCAGTCCTCTTCCCCCGTCTGAACACAATCCCTTTGCATCATGTGGTGGGATTTTTTCCTTCTGAAATATTTTCATGCTTTTCCTCTGATTTTGAAAGACATGTTTTACTGATTATCTTCCAGCAACCTCAAGCCTGACGAAGTAGCATTGTTGTACTTTTCCATGCCCACAGGGTTCATTGCGCCTGGAAACTTTTCTAATGAATGTGTAGAGATAGTAAATCTGCCCCCACCTCCTACTTTTCTTTTTTTTTCCTTTAATTTCTAGTTGGAAAGAGAAAAGATTGGAAATCTACTTTTAGTACAAATACTTGGCGGGGAGGGGAGTGGTAAGGCGGAAAGAATACAGGAAGGAAGAAAATATTATGACTGGTATCTCCAGATCTCATCTGTTTGTTCTAGATTATTTTCCATTTTTGCTAGCATTTTTCTCATGGCTAATTAAGGAACATCAGTGCACTTCTGCAGGCCTCACGACAGAAGGCACTGCTGAAGGGCTGGGGCTCATTGCCCATCTTTGAGCCGTGTTATAAGGGGAAGCTATTTGTTTTTGCAAGATCAGGTCCTAATTTTCCACTCTGAGCTGTAATTTCACTTCAAACCTGATAAGAGAACTGGATTCTGGTTTTTGGAAGGGGAGGGAGACAGTCTGCCAGCACTAAATGCTGTTCTCCGTTTCTCTTAAGCACAAACCCCCAATTGTTTCCAGTTTTTAAGACCTTTGTAGTTTACGAGTCAGGGAAATGTCTTATTTGCATAAAAGATTAATGTGAGGGCTTTTGAATACATAGAAATTCGTAGGTGCTAATAATATGCTGATTTCAAAATGTTTTACACATTGCTTTTTCACGAATTCCATTCTCTTAATTCTTGGCTCTTGTCACTAGGATGTGGGAGGAGAGTTGTTACCAGGGAAAGAAAGGAAAACCAGCTTTCTATTACCTTCTGTTTTCTTTCTAGGGGCACAGGTATTATTTCAGAATATATTTTAACCTCACTTGGTTGGATTTCCATACGAGGGATTTACAACTTTTGGGTCCCCCTTTCCTTTTACTGTTTTTCTTTAGAAATCTGATGTACGGCAATAGCAACTTGGTTTTGTGCAAGACTTCCTTCTTGCAAGACCGGAGTAATGCTCTTGTGAATAAGGATCCTGATTTCGAACCTGTAATTACATTAATATTTCTGCAGCTGCTGAAAGCAGGCTGAATGGTTGTAATGAAAGGCAGCAAGTTTGACAAGTTGTAACATGCGAGGGAATCTCAGAGCTGGGAATGTCAAAGCTTTTGAGCTAAATAAGTGCTGAATGCATATTAAATAAAAACTTGGCAGTGCTCTTCTGAATGACAGCTTAATACACAGTCACTACAGCATAGTAAAGCAGAGACTCTAATAAGCAGACACATGTATGTACACGATATCCTCGCGCGCTTAATTAAATGGTAGATCAAGAAGAGTTTTTGGTGCTCGATGTGAACTGCTGATTAATCAGGGCTTTACGGCGAGCTTTTCTTCTGTTGCTAAGCTGTGAAATGTGCTTGTTTTTATTGCAAGATTTGTTTACGATCAACAGCAAACTGTCTCTGTTCCATCTTGTGGAGCGAGGGCATTGTGATTTCAGTTTGCAGATAACGTTGATTTCAGAAGAATCGACTTCAAAGGGATACAGCCAGTGCCTTTGAAAATCAGTGTTCGTGGGCCCCTGATACAGGAAATCATTTAAATGCTTTCCGTTTCACATGAAATAAAAAGTGTGCATAAAGGCTTCCCAAAATAGGAATGCTCTCCTGTAACAGGGTTTCATTCATACTGCTAAATATGGGTTAGGAATGTAACTTTAGATCTTGGATTTAAATATATTGACCTATGCTCTTTTTTATTGAAACCGAAATCGCTGTAAATTATTTTCATCCCAACGTTTTACCTAGCTGCTGTGGGCTAGAAAGCTTTGGTGGGGAATTTTAATGACTTCCCAATTAACAAACTTCTAATTCTAAACTCTGGCATTAAAAGAAACGCAAACTGAAGTGCGTGCATCGTAACCTACCCTTCCTCCCAGCCAGCAGGGGCTCACAGGGTAACCATGAAATCCAGTAGGCCTCCACCCCAGGCTCCTACCAAACCCCCAAACCAAGAAGGTTGCAGCTGTCCAACCACAGGTTCGTCCTTCTGTCCGTCCCTTGTCCCTGCAGCCCCTGGTGCTCCATACAGCCAGAGCGAGGCCAGTTGGAAGCTAGAGTGAGATGTCACGGCACTGCCACACCTGCCTGCCTCCAGAAGAATATAAGTACAGATTTTGGGACCAACTTTGGAGCTTGCAAAGGAGCACTGATACTCTGCCTGCGTGCTGCAATAATGTGCTACTGTACTTGTCTTTGAAGGATTATATTGTAAGCTCTAGCTTACTTTATGTTGATCGTGGGATGCATACATAGCGCTGCTTCCTTGATGTCTTCTTTCAAGGGCAGTTGTGTAATACAGGGAATTTCTAGGCTAGTGTTCCTGGTGTTTTGTTGTTAGCCTATTATGTTGTGCCATTTCAAGGACGAGAAAAAAAGCCTGTTTCCAGGCAGCCCTGGTGTTCCTGAGTTTTGTTTTTTAATTTTATATTTTCCCATGCATGTTAGCACTACCTGCTTCTATGCTCTGTTGATCTGATCTGCAGCATGCAGAAGTTAAGTGGAAGAAGCTGGGGTGCTGGAGCAGCCCATGGAAACTTAAAAACTCATTCCAAAATATTTTGAGCAAATGGCATTTCTGGCTAAGCATTTTGCAGGTGTTTTTATTTTATTTTATTTTTTAAAAGGTGAAATGGTGCCGACTGTTTACCTTTCACAGGTTTTTACTTCTCGGGTGGTTAATATTCTAACTGACCCTACCTCCACCAGCAGTTTGGCCTTTTATCATTAACATCTGTGAAGAATTACGTAAAGAGAACCGAAGATGAAAAGCACCCACCAGTTCGTGAAGTCAGCCATTGGAGTTCAGCACTGTAACAGATACCTGTTTTAAGAAGCTGAATGTATTTGTTTTCTTGAGCCCTAAACTAACAGTTCAGTGCGAGTGTGACAA